TCACTACGACTAATGTTACAGTGTAAAGTTTGCATTAAGTTTGTGTTTAATAATAACTTTTATTTAATGTTTTAATTTCTTATTTGATTTCTTATAGAGGGCGGCTCATGCCCTCCCGGTTAAAAATATCAGTTGCTTAGAAAACACTAAAATGTTAATTTTACATGTGCATCAAAAACAAAGGCAGCCAGAATTTTATCTGTGAGGTAGATGGCAAAGTTTCTTCAGTGAAAGTTTCCATTGAAAATTCTTTTTCTTGAGCAAATGAAAAATAGGTTTTGTGTTGGTTAATGATTTTATTAATACTGATATATGATGGAATTTTTTTATTCAATTATTCGCGTTTTACTTCATCGAGTGTCATTGGCAAGATATGTTAATATTATTACCAAATTCTACTTCAATACTGTTCTAAAATGCGTCAAAACTTTCTGTCGATTCAGCTACATCTTGTTAACTTACATTATTCCTACATTTTTCTATTCTCCTTATTCTCTAAACCTAGCATGATCATTCATCACAATTGAAATGCTTTCGAGAAATACTAGCGAATTCCTCTACTGCCGCGAGTACATCTCTTCTTTCAAATTGAGCTCGGATTAACGTGTCGAGAAGGGCGTTTTTCCTCTGTGAATCTGGACGGACACTTATGGCAGCACTCTCAGCGTCCATTAGCCAACGTAAGTTGCACGCTGCTCGAGGTTTTCCTTTACCGAGTGAAGTAAGGCATCTTCGCTTCTATTATTCATGCCGTTATTGCGCCGAACGCGCACCCTGGTGCCACTATCACTTAAAAGGGTTGCAGCTCTTGCCCCCTTCTCTCGTCTTTTCACTTGGCGAAAGTATTCTACGAGGAAGTTTCTCTTTTCTCCTTTCTTTCGCCATTTACCATTTTTTTCTTTGGTTCATTCTTCCCGCAGTCCTTTTCTCTATTGTTTTGATTTCCTTCACATTGCTTTCCTTTCTAATTTAGGGTTCCCTTTATTTTTAATTCATTCCATTATTTCCAACGTCCATTACCATTTTCTTTACACTCTTCCTTCCCTATTTACAATCTCTTATTATGCCTTGTTTCTTTCATGATCATTCTCTTTAGCGTGTTTTCTATCGTTTTTATTCATGCTGTTGTAGTATTGATGCTTACTTATTACCTTCTGATTAAATCGTGCGTTATAAAACATTTTCTGTCAATAGTATAACTTAATTTCTTTTAATTCAACTGAGTTTGTTAAATGTAGGCACAGTTCTTTGAATTTTTTCTTCATTAACCTGAGTAATTCTTATTTCAATCACAAATTCTATAGTTTATTCTTACTGCATTGGGCATGCTCTTTCACTATGTATATAGTTAAATAAACTACAGCGGGAATGCGGAGCAATTTAAGTCAATAAAGGTCAGCGTTGGTGATTACTCTATAAAGTGAAACTGGACATTGTTTTTTGAAAGTTGTGCTTCATCCAGGCGAATTTTATTTCGCAGTTGCGGAAAAATGAAAGTTTAAATGTGTCATTTAATATTAATATAGGGAAAACTGCCTATTTATCTTCTTTCAACCCATTTTCCTTCGAATGGTCCACAAATGCGACTAAAAATGAAAATGAAATAATTCTGTAAAGATTAGAAGTTTTATACATACATTGCTTATATGGTAACACACAACAATTTAACAGAATTAATTGATTAGTAGTTTTTACGTGACAGTGACGTCATATGCGATAAATACTCGTAATTCAATTTAAGGAATTTGAATGGAGGGCATGAGTAGATTTTAAAATTAGTTTTGAAGTAGGTTGTTGAGATGTTTTTCTTGTGTATTCACGAAAATGACTTTCAAGAATGAAACTAGTTTATTATAGGTGAATCAATTTTTAGGTATGTTTACTGTTAAAAATAGGTCATGTCCTTTTTTTGGGTCAATGAAAAATTACGTTGGGATATGTTGTTGCCTTGTATTATTGCGATATTGTGGGTTATTATGGATATGTTACATAATTATTTTTGATATTATGATTCTTGTGATGTATTTTCTTTCTCATCTTCTCCTTTTCGTCGTCCTCTCCCCCCTCATCTTCCTCCCTTCTCTTCTTTGAACTTCCTTCTCCCACGGCTCCCCTTCTCCTCTCTTCCTCTCCTCTTCCCTCTCCTCTTCCCTCTCCTCTCCCATCACCTCCCCTCTACCTTCCACGCCTGCTCAACCTCTCCACCCCTCCTCCACACTCTATTCCACCTCCCTTATCTCCTACATCGCCTCCCAATTCTTTTTTTATAATGTGTTTAAACTAAGAATCTAAGTGACTTGATTTCTTACCATTGCCTTTTCCAAAGTGAGTCTCAAAATATTTGGTTCCTTGTAGTTGTTTCATTTCCTTCATGTCTCTTGTATTATTTACTGAAAATAATTGTATTATTTTCTTAGTTCTTGGTTCTCATTTTCTGGTATCTTGTATTATTTTCTGAAGTAGTGGTAACTACATGACTATTAAACAAATACAATCCATATTAAATTAATAAACATAACTCGTTTCAAAGCTATTCAAAAGGTTAACAAATAAAATTTTAATATTTTGTCTGCTTTTCCTATCTATAAAACAAGGTTTTTCGTCTGTAATTAAAGCTCCAGTCCTTAGAAAAAATATAAAACAGCTGAATATTTCGTTCTATTAGGAAGGAAAGTCCATTTTATTTCTGGACTCCCAGTCTTGTCGAGAATTTTAGTTTATTGCGTAACATGTGCAATATGTGAGTGTCAATTGAGCTGAATGGAATCTTTGAATAGTGCTGTGTATTTAATAAAAGAGAATTTAATTACGGTGCATTACGGTAAAGACTGCATTTTTAAGCATCGAATTTTGTTTCGTACGAGAGCCGAAAAAAAAGAGGGAAAAAGATATCCTGAAGGGAGTGAGTGGGCCCAGCACGTCCGGTCCATTTATTATCCATAAAGTCTGAAGCGTTAGTTTTCACTTAACCTTCATATCCGCTCCTTTTCTTCGGTTCTTTTAAGATACAGCTTGCGTATTTCCAGAACTCTGCCTTCACTGCGTGCTCGCCGGTTAAGGCTGGCTCCCTGCTCTGTCGCTTGTCCCACCCGCTGCGAGTCCTTTTAACAGGACTCTCGACCTCGTACGCAATTTGCTTCTTCACCGCCACGTCCCCACTCCCCTCACCAGTCGCACTCCTCCACCGTTGCCCTTCAGACTCTTTGCTCTATACTCTCTCATCCTTCTGCTCCCAGGCCTTTTGCTCTCTACTGTTTCACCTTCTCCTCCGCGACATTTTGCTCTCTATGTACTCACTCTTCTCCCACATGTAATTTTTCTCTCTAGTCTCTCACCCTTATCCGGTCAGACTCTTTCCTCTTTACACTCTCATCCTTCTCCTTTCGGACACTTTCCTCCCTGACCCTCTTCGTCACCACCCCATCCTCACATGATATCCTCCTCTCCTCTGTCCCCTCTTTTTTCTCTCTCTTTCCTCCCCACCCATGTCTCTCTCGATACTCTACACCCCATCACTCTCCTCTGCTCTCCTCTCCGAACCTTTCCTCTTTGTCTCTTTCCTCCCCGGCGCTGTTCCTCGCCTCCCAACTTCCTCGCCTGTGTCCTGTTCTACTCCCCTCCTCTTGTAAGCCTCTTCACTCCCTCCCTCCTCCCCGCCCCTTTCTTCTCCACCCATCTCCACCCCCCCCCTCCCGCCCACGCTCGCCCCGCGGAGGTCCCCGGGCTCACGTTCCAGAGGCCAAAGCTGCTTACTCCCGGGGGCGGTGGCTTTTAAGTTTTACACATTTTAACTAGAAGAAGCCACCCGCTTCCCCTTCATTAAATCAAGGGGAAAGAATCAAGTTTCTTAATTAATTCGCGTTCGCAGGCCGCCTTGTTTACGGCTGGGCGGTGGAGCGGTGCAGCACGTGAGGGCGCCGGAGCCGCCGAGAAGTGGGCCAGTTGGGAGTGGGAGGGGTCAGGTCGAGGCGACGAGGAAACGTACGGCGGAGAAGATCCGGGACGAAGCGGCGGGTGACCCGGCCACGGGAAGTTGCATATGCGTGACCTCAGTAACGGTGAACTAACAATACAAGGTACTGAGGGATCAGAAGCAAGGTGTTGGTATTGTTTGTATTTAAAATGAAATAATTATAAGTAGTCCTTTATTTCCTTTTTTTGGAGTATTATATGTCTACGTAGTCGTTTTGTGGCTTCCATACAACAGAAAACTAATGATGATGATCATGATCATGATGATGAGGATGGCCAAGCCATCGAAAGCTGTACTTGAAATAAACAATATTGTTGGTAATGACAAGTCATACAATTATTTCAGAAGAGGTGCTAGGCCACCTGCAGAACACGAGGTGATTTGTTTGAAGTTCAGAAACTGAAGAAGGCTAGCTAGATTCAAATGGAGATCTGTAATTTGTTAAGTGTGTGACATGTGTCACATATTTATTGTGTTAAGGGAAATTCACTAGAACTCAAATTTTAATGGAAAAGTAAACGGATCGGGGAAAGTTCGATATTCAAGAACAGTTGGCAGTGAATTGTGACTTTGGTTACTTCCACGAAAGCGATATTTTTTGTTACATTTTTGAATGAAGTTGTTCCTGTTATTGGGTAATTCATAACTAAATTGTTCATACTATACGTACAATATTTTCTACATAATATATTTAGATGTATTACTTGGTAAATAAGCTAATTGGCTTCGAGTTCTAGAAAGGGTTGTCAGTTGACGAAATACCACCAGCATATTCTATTTCAATTTTAAAATAAAACATTATGACTTGCACAAGTTAATGACCTGTTACGCATAGTTTATTCTGAAATTTCTATCTTCCCCGTCACACAACATGTAACCGCTTCTAATCTGACGTCGTCCGTCTCGTAGCCTGACATCACGTGCCCCCGAGTCCAGTCACTCACTTAACAATCGTCGAGGATTGCCTCATGAGATTATTCATATTTTAATAGGCATCTCGTCGACTGCAGAAGCTGCTTCGTCCGAGGTATTCCCCCTCGCCCATGGGGATCCAGGCGAGGCTGGCTGGCCCGCGCCGCCGTCCCTGCAGCGCCCAAGACCTCATTTCAGGTAAAATACATCACATAAGTTACACCCGTGGCTATTATTTTCTCATTCTGGAAATATACGATGAACCGTGACTGTCGAATATCGCCATTTCGTATTTGTTCAATTTTTTTAGTGAAGATATGAAAACAATTTTGACTTTTAAAATATATTTCGTTACTTAAAATTTGATGCGTCTTCCGATATTTTTCTCATCCTCTTCTGAAATATCTCCCATATCACTAGTTATTTGATTCATTATTTGACCGTAAAGAGCTTCAGTTGCAAATGAAACTCTTATTATGTAGGTCTTATTCAACATGAATGCATTACACTGTTTAATAACTCAAATAAGAACAAGTGATATAGGAATACATTTAAGTGTAGAGAGGGGACTAGAGAAATTAACACACTCGGTAAGAAATTCAGCGGCATCGACATTGTGTATCTGCTCATGGAGTAACTTTGAACACACAAAATCGCAAGAACTTATATCAAAACTTTCAATCGAAATATCAGGCAAGAATCACAGCCGTATGTGTTCCTATTCCAAATACGTTCACTGTCAAAGACTGTATATATTTGTTTCGACTTCTCTGTATATTTAGATAGCTTTTCCATTTCTATCACCATCCTCCCTTATCTTCGTGAATTCCCGAGGCTTCAGGTACTCTTTTTCTCCCCCTTTCACATTTTACTCTTTTGCTGGGAGTTTACCCAAAGGCCCATCTCAGCCATTTTTGTTTAAGTGGTGAGACACCCAGTTGGACCACATTTGTTGTATAATACATATTTTGGAGAATATGACTAAAGCGAAAAAGGCCGTGAGTTGAAAGGTGATACATAATAGTAGTATGAGCCCTACTATGCCATAAAACTCTCTATAAATTATTACGAATGTTTATCACATAATTCATTGCTGAGGTCAATTTCGATGAAAATGCAATCATCTTTAGTACCTACAAATATGTTTTAATGCCGTTTGATTGTTGTATTTGTTCACATTAAATTACCTTGTGAAGATGATACAATTACGTTTAGACGCCCTCCCATAAATATTTGTGATGCTGCAGTTTAATTTGCTATCGTAGCTGTCGGAATTTGGGGATGTTGTAACTTGTATTGAGACTTATGAGGGGAAATGCAGACGAAAATAAAAATCTCACTGCAACAATTTCAGGCTCTTGTTGCAACTTCAGAAAAAATCTTGGCGATCTGGCATACACAAACGCAGGAGTTGTGAATGTTGCCATGGAACATTGAAAAATAGAAAATTATCGACGAACATACAAATATTTTCTCTAGCATTTTTTCACGAGTATGGAAGACAACTTTATTATATAGCAGAACTTCCACAATTATAAAAAAAAAGGCCCTGAAAATATCTAGTTTTGTAGAACGGAACGGTGAAAATTGGTAGTAAGGCGTGAGGAATATAATTTGGAATCTGCGGTCCTCCAAAATCAGGTGTTGAAAACCAGAAGTTATCATATTCATTAAGGAACGATCGATGTTTATACCGCCTCGCGGGACGTCTATTGTGGAACGCCTCATTTAGAAGCCTAATTGAGAATTGATGAATTGAGGATTGAGATTGAAAGATGAGAAACAAATTCACAGATATGAAATTTCTTTTCTCTTGACATTTAATTTGTTAAGTTTGGTAGGGTTAGATGGCAAATTCTCTTCCGAAATACTGCAGCTTTTAATGAATTTCTTCGATTTAAATTGTAACTTTCCCCTTAATCGAGAAGTAGACAGTGATATATATATATATATATATATATATATATATATATATCCTATATAATATATATATATTGATATTTATTATTTCTGCAGGTAGGTTTGTGCAACCTGATAGCAGAACACAACAATTTACGTATTAAAATTAGGAATATTAATGCAATTACACTTTAAATAATTTGAAAATCACAATAATAATAATAATAATAATAATAATGATGATGATGATGATGATGATAATGATGATGATGATAATGATGATGATAATATAATAATAATAATAATAATAATAATAATAATAATAATAATAATAATAATAATAATAATATTACAATAACTGATTTAATAAGCCCAACTTACTAATTAATAAAGTTTAGAAATATCATTGGTTAGATTACTTTTAAATTTATGAACCCCTAGAGGAAAGGGTTCCAAGGCAGTCGCAGGCACCGTATTCCATATCACGACTGCCGTGTCCATTCACCGCGTGGGTCATCGCCCTCGCACTGTTTTCGGCGCGGTGGCGTCGCCCTCTGAAGCCACCGCCGCTCTAACGCAAGCCCCTGGCTTGCGCGCTTGTCGCTCCCGCGGCCGCGTGGCCCAGCGGGAAATTTAATTAGGGCCTCTTTCTAATGGAGCCGCTGCCGTCGTGGAGTTCTTTTGGCGGGGCAGGGCAGGGCAGGGCAGGGCACGGCAGAGGAGGCAAAGACCTGGGCCGCCCGCGGTCCTGCACCCTGAGCGACACCGCTTTGTGCGCTCTCATTACCATGCGCCCGTCCCGGGCCGCGCCGCCGCTCCTCGCTCGCTCATACTCGTTTGCGACTACCTGCCTCTGCTTCCCTCCGCCTGCTGCCTTCTTTCTGTTGCGCGCTTCCTATTTGTGCGTCCTTCTTCCCGCGCCGCTCCCTGCGTCTGTGCTCCCGTTCCTCGCTAGCCCAAACTCATTGCCCGCTCATCTCTGCCCGCTCCCTGCTTCTCACCCCACGCTCCTCGCCGGCAGCCCGTGGCTCACCGCTCCTCGCTCACCGCTCCTGGCTCACCGCTCCTCGCTCGGTGCTTCTCGCTCATGGCTCTTCTCTCACCATTCACCGCTTACCACTCCTCGCTCACTGCTCCTCGCTCCCAACCTTCTCTTGCAACTTCGCACTTCTCGGCCCTGCTTTCCTGTCCATTATCATCTCCGATGTCTTGCCCTTTCGGCTCCACTAACAACTCTCCGTGCAAGTTCTGCTCAACGCATTCCTTGCGTGTAATCTTGCACCACGCGCCCCCGCCGCCCCCGCCTTGAACTACGTACTCCCCTCCGCCCACGCCGGTGTGTGTGTGTGTGTGTGTTCCTTGTCAGGCGCCCCTGCTCCCTGCCAGCCATTTCGCGCCGCGTGGTGCTCACCGCCCGTTGCACGGCGCGCGCATCTCCACACACTCCCCGCTGCGCCAGAAACTTTTCTTTGCAAACTTCCCAGCGACGCATCGTCTGCGAAAGCAACTCCCGCGGCTCGCAAACACACCTCGCCCTGCTTCTCTACGAAGCGTGCTCTCCGCCCTTCGCCCTATCACCTGCCCCTCTTAACCTGTTCATTTTCAGCGCTTATCTGATTAGGAAGAGTGCAAGAGTTAATGATGGGGTTAATGTGAGTGAAGTGGGTCACCAAATGAACACGGCTTGACAAGTGTATAGGTTCAAGTAATGCCAAACAGTCATTTGATAAAATAGCCATTTCATCGTATCCAATGATAAATTTTTATTGTTAAGTAATTGTTGGATTGACGGCAATAAAAATGGGAACAACACATAATTTATATTTTGTAACATATATTAATAAACACAATTCGATTGTGACGTGTGAAAAGTCAGCGAACGAACGTGCAAAAAGTCGTCGAGTTTAGCCTCGTCTCCCAACAAAACCATCATGGATAATTTTCAGTTTTACTACACATTACCATGCACAATACCATGCTAAAATAATGGTATTAAATCTTAACGCTTGTATTAATATTGTACCCACAATTTTTTAAACATTGTTCAAACACGTTTGTGAACGTCAAAGGATTCACACCGATGCACTATTTTTTTGGCACTGAGAACATATAAACACCCTAAAAAGCCAAAACAATGAAAATGTATTTTATTACCTAAAGAACCATTAAAAACATTAAACATATTGCTATTTCCCACGAGAAAAAATAAATGTTCGAGAAAGTTCTCTTCACACTTGTAAAAAAATTCATCTCTATCTCCGCATATACAAGTTAACATTAATTACTTCAAACACAAATGGCATCATTGTTTGAAAACGTTTCCAAACCTCTTACCAACTTTTTTTTCTCCATGTAATCTATTTGTCCCATTATCTGCGAAGAGTGTGCTGAAAAAAATATATATATACCAGTCCATTCCCACTTTACTTCGGCGTCCCGAAAGCGGAGAACAAACAGAATTTTTCGCCCCATTCTCCCTGGAGAGCCAGCAGGAGGTATTCTCGACGCACTTTCCCTCGCGGAAGGGGAGAGGGGGAGGGGGAGAGGAGGGGCGGAACGCTTCCGTTATTTCGTAGAGTCAACATACCGGTCGCTCCGTCTGCAAGTAAATTACTGCGCCCGGTGGCCGTAATCCTTCGCGCCGCGAGCGTTGCGCCCTTCGCAGCCCTTGCCTCCCTTTAGGGCGCATTTTGTCCGGCGATTACGGCGTTCATTATCGGCCCGTTGGCCGACGCACGTGGGCGCGGCGCGGGGGTCGGGGCGGGGGAGGGGCTGCAGAGGGGTGAAGATCGTCGTGGAGGGGGGAACGGAAGATCGAGGGCTGAAGTTGCAGCGCGCGGGCTGGAAATGAAAGATTGGATTAAAGTGTGACTGCTGAATGGGGCGTTGTGTAGAGAGCGAGAGATAGGGGTACCGCTTGACCAGTTGAGTCGATCGATCAAACAAAGGTTAGACAATAATTTTGAGCTTAATGTAGCGACGGAAGAATGTATAATGTTGAGATGGTTTGGGCAAAATAATGGGAGATTGTGGGAGCCGTGGCGGGTTGTCGCAATAGCAGGTAGTATCTAGTGTGGCTTGAATGTCTAAGATTAAATATAAAATATTCGACCAGATGTAAAACAATAAGTCCGTCAAAAAAGTGGAAAAAAAATGAATATGTGATAACATCAAAGACACAAATGAACATTTTTGGTTGTCGATGTCACTCGACAACGGTAATGAAGGAATAGTAAATACCGCCTCATAACAGCACGCATTAATCTGAAATAAGAAAGCAATTAGTGTGAAGATACATGG